CGATCACAGCCTGTCAGTGTCAGCTTGATGTCTGAGAAAATCCTCAAGTGACTGACTGACTGACTGAGTATGGTTTTATGCCGCTTTTAGCAATATTCCAGCAATATCACGGCAGGGGACAACAGAAATGGGCTTCACACATTGTACCCATGTCGGGAATTGAACCCGGGTCTTCGGCGTGACGAGCGAACGCTATAACCACTAGGCTACCCGACCGCCCAAATCCTCAAGTGATGCACAACTTACATGTTTACCACTTTGGTGAAAATCACGAGCATGGGTATGGTGCTGAAAAATCTAGAAACATAATCAGTGCGATTTGGAATTCAACCATCATAACCGGTTCCAAGGGAAGTTACTCTGCACATCAAATTGCTGTGCCCTTGATGACCACCCCCCATCCATCTAATAGACAGCAGTATCCAACTTTCCAAGGCTCATACCTCCATGCATAGCCAAGCTTGTGTATATGATGGTGATCTGGTAGATAATCGAGTCTGGACCAGACAATCCAGTGATCATGGTGATTGATATTGTGAACAACGATTTATGCCATCTGGGTATGATGACACAGAACAACAAAAATCATAGAGCCTGAGCTCCTGATCCATTGGTTGACTCTTACGACGATATTGATAATAACTGCCTTTTAACAGTCACATCCACACAATAAACTTATACAGAAAATTACCTCACAAGTTTTATTATCAGTAAATACTTTCGTCAGTGTGACAATCATTTAGCAAACTTCATTTTGGCCAGTAACCAAGGCAAGGAGAAATCTAGATACACCCACCTCACAACAATGATTGGACAATGTCATGATTGCATAAATATAGAATACTAAACGAGCTCCCGTGTAATACCAATTTTATGAAACGAGTGAATAGTTGTGGTATCTGACGAGCGAAAGCAAGTCAGATACCACAACTATTCACGAGTTTCATTAAATTGGTTTTACACGGGAGCAAGTTTAGTATTTTATTTATTACTGGCCATTTATAACGTTTTTAGAATTATACTGTTGAGTGTGAATAGGCTTACACCTACACGATCCACGGTATAGTCCAACTGAGTTTAACACAGTAATACTTCAAATACGTCAAAAGTTGAAACGTATGAATTTAATACCATCCAACGGTCCACCTTTAGAATTCAGGCGTCCGTTCCACAAAATTATCGTAGCGTTAAGGTTATCGCAACTCATATACTTTAACTTAGACCAACGACTGTTGTTGCGCTACAGTACGATCGCCTTGTGGAACGGGGCCTTGCACCTCAAAGTTTACAATGACGTCACAATACCCGATGACGTAATTTGTGGAATTTTGTTGCAAGATCCTTCGGCGAAACAATGCCATGTGACATCAGCCTAGCAACAAGGTTGCTGGGGTCATCGAGTGTGCATAAGCTCCTCTCAGTGATCTATCATCTCCACACGCAATGTCGTTGAATAAGCCAAGGGATGTTGAGAGCTTTCAATATTTGTTCGTGAAACGTGTTCCGAGAGTACACAAGCACTCGTTTTGGTATTACACAATGTGTAATACAGCTGTATGTTTATTAAACGGGTGATCTCTTCACGGGCAAGTAATAAATAGCATATGAATCACACAGCCTTTTCAAGGCTTTCAACTGTCATTTTCAAAGCTTTTTTAGTTGTGCTGTTAGCCGTAGTCGGTCAATATTTCATCAATTTTTTAGTCCAGCATACTAAATATTAGTTGTAAGACCTAAAATGCAGTACGAACAATTCAACATCATAAATTTTCCAACAATATTTATTTTCACAACCAACAAATGAAATAAATTATGTCAGTCATGAATTCTTTGGCCCACAAATCTGTCACCGTGGTCACACTTCAACTTTTATCAACAAGTACATGACTACATACATGTACATCATGGTATATGTCACGTTGTACAAATTTATGGCTTTTCAAGCTATTTGGGTTATTTTAAAGGCTTTCTGAGGTTCACACTTAAAATAAAAGCTTTACAAGAGGGACCTTAAAATTCAAGGCCTTTCCAAGCCTGTACAAACTCCGAGTAGAAACTGTTATTTCTGTATTGTCCTAGTAGCCATGCTGAAACTACATTTACTCTTAGTCTTATTCCTGCAAATGTAAACAGCCTCAGAGCTCCAGATAAGCTGCGTATCTGCGTAAAATAGGCATCAGAAATGCAGAAATACGCAGTAAAATAATATCCAAGCGTATCAAATACGCATCAAATACGCAATGAACATTAGAGATACGCTACAAAAATAAAACTTGTGCGTACATTCAAAATATTGTGAAGTAACCCTGCGTATTCGATTGGCAAATCAGCAACTTATTTTGAAATTATAAACGGGCATTCCGTCAACCTTGCCAAACTCCACGATGACAGTTACATCATGATCATTTGCCATCACACTTTCTTGTGGAAGTATCGTGGTATTTTTGAGTCCTATAAAGCTCTCGAACCCACACAACACTAGTTTGCAGGGACTAGATGAATAGTGTTTTTAAATATTTAATTTAAATACCCACATGTGTAAAAACTAGTGGGTAACAGAAATTTGAATACCCAGATAGAATAGCTGATACGCAGTGATTTTAAAATGCATGGGTAAAATACCCACAACACCAAAAGCTTATCTGGAGCTCTGAGCCTACAAATGTCTCTCAGAAACAGACAAAAAGGTGGTAAGTAAGGTGGTCTTTCTTCATTCTTTTTTAAGTATTTAGTATGCAATGTTACCACACTGTCAAGGATTGATATTTGTAGAGATGTTTCTGAACTGTGTAGGTAAAACTAGCTACACTAACGATAATATGTGGAAACTGAATTTTTCCGAATGTAAATTATGTATTCTTGAGATTATTTCTTATCTCTTTTTCCTGAGTGAGTGAATGAGTATGGTTTTACGCCGCTTTTAGCAATATTCCAGCAATGTCACGGCGGGGGACACCAGAAATGGGCTTCACACATTGTACTCATGTCGGGAATCGAACCTGAGTCTTTGGCGTAACAAGCAAACGCTTTAACCACTAGGATACCCGACCGCCCCTCTTTTTCCAGAGATGATAAAAACATTTAGGTCTCAAGTGAAACAATGGGTCGTTCAGGTTACCTAAACACAAGTACTCCCTTTTGAGGACCTAAAACAATGAAGGGACTTTAATGCGGTCCATCTTCAGGATGACAATGTGTGGTAAGTGTTTTAATTGAACATAAAGGATTCTAGTTTGATCTGTTTGTTTGTTGTTTAACGCTGCACTCAGCAATATTCCAGCTATATGCTGGCAGTCTGTAAATATTAAGAGTGTGGACCAGACAATCCAGTGATTTATATCGTGAGCATCGATCCATGCAATTGGGATCGATGTCCTGCATCAACGAAGTCAGCGAGCCTGTCAGTCGCCTCTTACGACAAGCATAGTTTGCTGAAGACCTATTCTAACCCGGATCTTCACGGGTCTAAAGGATTCTAGGGAGTGTCCAGACCATGCAGATTACATTGAACATGTTGAATTAAATTCACAGAACTAACAGACCTTAGCTTCAAATTCATATAATTCCAGGGATCTGAAAACACTTGTCAAACTTGTTATGGTTTAGTCTTTCAAATACCACAATCCATTTTTTTTTATGCCAATATACTTTCAAATCCACCGAAACAGTAACCTTGAAATACCCACACAATCCATGCTCACTGACATTAGTATCACTACTCTTTGCGCACTGATCATGTCCCTCAATGATGTAGATTTTGCGCTATATAAATAGCCGTGTTTTTTATTATAACTCAGTGTCTGACCTTGTAAATGACTGGCAAGGTCAACAGAACAACAGCTCATTTCACACCATATTGTAATCCTATGCAACATGTATACTGTATCAGCCCCAGTGAGTCTCGACGTGTTTAATGACTTGAGTTTGTGAGGAGATATACACTATACCATTGATACCTGTGACCTACTGGCAAGGTGAACTAGGACTGAATAAAATATAGGGTAACAGTTTTATTGTGTCTGATCTAAGCATGCTGACTGATTAAGCAAGTTTATGCAGTAGCAAGCTACTTGCTAAAAGGTTGGGGATTTTGAACAGACTTGGTGGCCAGTTTTGGCGGTCCCTCTTTCAGAAGTGACAGCTTGAGACTGTCCTTTTGCCTTTGTGAAATAAATTCATCACAGATCCACATTCTATGACCACTGCTGCAAATCTGTTGTCCCCGACCAGACTGCTGCTGATCTGTTGTCCCCGACCTGACAGCTGGTGAAATGTTGCCCCCCCCCCCCCCTCCGACTGCTGCTGCAATGTTGTCCCCGACCTGACAGCTGCTGAAATGTTGTCCCCTCCACACGACCGCTGCTGATCTACCATCCAACCTCTGAAATCTGCTGATCTGTTGTCCCCCCTCTGATTGCTGCTGATATGTTGTCCCTCCTTCTGACTGCTGCTGATCTGTTGTCCCCCCCCTCTGACTGCTGCTGATCTGTTGTTCCCCTTCTGCTGCTGATCTGTTGTCCCCTTCTGACAGCTGCTGATATGTTGTCCCCCCTTCTGACAGCTGCTGATCTGTTGTTCCCCCCCCCCCCCACCCCCCACCCCACCCCGATTGCTGCTGATATGTTGTCCCTCCTTCTGACTGCTGCTGATATGTTGTCCCTCCTTCTGACTGCTGCTGATCTGTTGTCCCCCCTCTGACAGCTGCTGATATGTTGTTCCCTCCACTGACTGCTGCTGATCTGTTGTCCCCCCTGACTGCTGCTGATCTGTTGTCCCCCCCTGACTGCTGCTGAGCTGTTGTCCCCAACCTGACTGCTGCTGATATGTTGTTCCCCCTCTGACAGCTGCTGATCTGTTGTCCCCCCTGACTGCTGCTGATCTGTTGTCCCCCCCCACTGACTGCTGCTGATCTCTTGTTCCCGACCTGACTGCTGCTGATCTGTTGTCCCCGACCAGACAGCTGCTGATCTGTTGTCTCCCCTCTGAAAGCAGCTACTTACCAGACGGTGTAGTTTGCTGGGTTGAGTTCCGCCGCATCCTTTGTCAGCTCCAGAGCCCGGTCACTTCTCTCCTCTGCGGCGAGGATGGCACGGAAGTAGTCGTACACATCCCGAACTGAAACCAACATTTACTGTCAGGAAAGATTGCTCATTCATCATACTCAGTGTTCGAAATAAGGGGGACCTGTGTGCTCTAGGTTTGCTCCAAGAGTACAATCTAGGGATCTCTTAATATTGAGCTTTAAGTAATAGGGCAATAACAAGGGCTGTCACACCTAATTTCAACTGACACTAATGGACAAGAAAAAAAAGTCACAGTTGTCTGGCAATATCAAACTCAATTATAACATATGACACACAGTATGCAGGATGGAGTATCAGCGTGACACCGTCAGTGTATATAGCATGATCAGTAGTAACATTTAACTGCACATCTGTCTACTAACATGACTAACGTGACTAAATGACTAACCAACCATGATCAACACTTGATTAGATCAACATTATACATGCACTCATCACTTACTAGTGAAGGTGTCCTATATTAATAACACGCATATATCATGTTGAGAGTGAAACACATGTAGCATGAATGTCTGACTGACACCGAAAGGTGATCATTGGCACACATCCACCAAGTATGACAATATACCATCATTAACCCGGATGCAACTCTAGGATAGCAGGGATTTATCTAGACCTGCCCAGAGGCCGATATGCAGCCTCAAGTCTGCAGGAGATGTCATTAAAGGGGCACTAATATCTGGCTTCTTCTCGGCTGTCTATCACTGCCCACTAGGGCTCACTAGCTGCCGTGAGTCGATTTGCTCGCTAACGCAACTGAGCATGATAAGAAATTAGGATACCGTCTGTAAGGACAGCTAAATAAACTTTGAGGCAATATCTGTTTTACGCATTTTTGAACACTGATTGGTTACCTGTGATCTATGAAGATTTCGAAAAAGGGCGCATGTTAATTAATTTCTTCAGCCTAAACAAACAGAACACTGGAAGCTCATTGGTTGTTGTTATTTGGAAATACCCCCGTAGGTTATAGTTTAATAAATAAAAAAAAAGTATCCCTGCAGTGAAAGATTTTCGGATTTCAGATCGCGTGGATAATACGATTACTTCTCCCTTGTTGTCATCCATGTGTCCTGGCAGAACCCTCCACCGGTGTATTTGTCGTCATTCGCTTGAAGCTCAGTCAATTTTAAACAAGGTAAGACTTTTTCCCAATTTGCCTGCCAGGGGCACTTAGTTTAGAATCCTAGATAAATCCCTGGAAAGAAATTAACCAAGAGAGTCTACCAGCCAAAATAGTGATAACAAATAGCAATAACCCCCAAAATATTGGAAATTCAACGAGCACTTCGGATACACTTAACACTAACAACGCCAGTCCAGGCTAGCGGGCTAGTGCTGATTTCTACCCCTGCTGAACTTAACATATACCGACACCCTTTGAAAACATACATTCAAGTTTTTGTAGTATTTGACAAAATGGCCACCAGAATCAAATTAATTTGTTCCATGTATATCGACAGAGTTAATCAAACGCAACAATGTCGAATCTCATTTGAAGGGTTTTGAGATGGACTTGAAAACAAAAAAACACACCTTGTCTGATCTGCTGATGCTTGATTACCGTATTTGACGTAATAAGTGCCCAGGGCGCTCTCAAAATCAGAAATAGGGGGCTCTTATTATCATATTATTTTGGTGGGGAAAAAACATAGTTGAAAGATAAATTTCGTGGTTTGTGCTGACAGCCTGAAATGTTTATGTACGACAGATATATTTTTCCAGAATTTAATTGCCCATAGATAAGGGTGCATATAACACGTGTGCGTATTATACCGAATAAATAAGTCTTGTGTACATTGATCAGTCGGATGGGATACTAATTGGGCTTATTCACTAGCCAATATATCAGCAAATATCGCCATGTGCGCTTATTACATCGAATACAGTATGTGTTCTCATTGTGTTTCAGTTCATAACATTTACTTATTATAACCTTGTGAGTCTACTAGCCTCAGGAGGCACGGGTGGCCATGTTGTCTAAGGAACCGCGATTCGCTGTTCAGGGTTGCGTCACATCAAGCTGGCACGCCGTGATATAACTGGAATACTGTTAAAAGCAGCGTTAAACCCAACTCACTCACTCACTCTACTAGCCTCAACTTGGCTCTAAACATCATCTTTTGGTACATTCTAGAAGGGCTGGCTAATGATATAGATCATAGAGATCAATGATCGTTAACTTATTATCAATCAATTATCAATAAATATCATGAAATATAGGAAAGGTAACTTTGAGCAAATTTGAAAAAATGTCTGAAATAATCAACATATTTCATGCAACGTGAGTGGTTACACATTAATGCATGGATTACTTTAAGGGAATTTGAGATATAACAAAAACAGTTGCTTTTGAAATTATTACACCTTCGAAAGAAAATACCGGTATTAAAATGACTGAGCAAAGAAGAGTATTCCTGATAGTTAGGCCACACTTTTACATTTTATGTTTCACAGATTTCTTCCAGCTTTTCCACACAAGGTTGTCGAAACAAAAATACCGTATTCGACGTAATAAGCGCCCAGGGCGCTCTCAAAATTAGAAACAGGGGGCTCTTATAAGAATACTATTTTGGTGGAAAAAACAGATTTGAAAGATAAATTTCGTGGTTTATGCTGACAGACTGAAATGTTTATATACGACAGATATATTTTTTCAGAATTTAATTGCCCATAATTAAGGGTGCATATAACACATGAGTGCGTATTATGCGCGAATAAATAAGTCTTGTGTACATTGATCAATCGGAAGGGGTGCTAATTGGGACTGTTCACTAGCCAATATATGAGCAATTATCGCCGGGGGCGCTTATTACGTCGAATACGGTAATAATACATAGGTCAATCATTTATTTATTCATATGAATGTCATTTTGCCATGCAGTTAGCTTCTTAAATCACTGGAATTCATATGTAAGATTATATTTTATATAAAAGGGTTTATATAACTAGCGGGAGTCATAATAAAACTATTTTTATTTTTAATAAATTTCTTTTCCATTTGTTTTTCAGTAGGGGTGGTGGGCCAGTGAAACAAAAAATAAAACGTGTGGCCCTACCTGTATGCATGGAACAGCAGTGCATAAATCAATCAATTTAGCAAATGAGTATTCATGGAACGCTGGTGCATATCAAATTTATCATTAAGAATTCAGATCATCTGTTGCTGATGTTGTGAGGTTTACAAATGCAGCCTTCAGACTTGACCTGGACTGGAGGCCTTAGCCTTCCACAAACATGTCCATCATTGTTGGTATGTTGAAAACTATATGTTGTTATTATGTCGCAGTACAAGCACACAGAGAATTTGTTTCCATACATTTAGTCACACTCTTCACGTGCTTAGTGACTGCACACTTTCAGTGTGTGAAAAACATTTTGAAAGTACAGAAGTATAGACAATGGGGGTTCTGCCGAAACCCACCCTGGACCAGGTCCACCTCCTGACAAGGCTTTTATGGGGGTCTTAAGTTTGATCAATTATGTGATGTCGATACTACTTGTACTGCTCCAAGCCCAAATTTGTCCCTTGACGTCATTTTCAATAGAATTTTGGGTTAATATACGGACTATTTCTTGCCTAGATTATTCAACCAAACAATAACTTGACTCAGGCTTCGGACAAGCGGTTTAAGTCTTTGTCAACATATTGGTCACCACAGCTATGCTATATATAATAGGGGGCACCCAGGACCTAAGACAATGTGTTGACAAACCAATGATCTCAATCAGAGAAAATATGGTATCACAACCAATGATCTTATAATACTCAAAAGAAGTTGAGGGCCATCCGATACTGAAAATCAGTGTCTAACTGTGACGTAGCTGAGGTATGTTATAAGTTTTGGCAACTTTGGAGATATAAATTTCGAAACAATTTTGCGAGGGCACGAGGCCTAGCCAAGCGGGATCAGTAGCCATATCTGTGCTTGTAGACCTTTGCGGCTTGAAACCTTCTCCACAAATTAAAATAGTTGGATTTGGCCGAAATATGTTTGAATTGTTACCTTGTTTCGTTTTGTCGCTGTGTGTACATCTGACTACACTTCTTAACGTTATGACAGACCGACTGTCAACAACGTCTGACCGTGGCTGTGAAGTCTCATAGACTAGGGTTAGAGTAGCTTCCCTTTGACAAAGGGCAGTTACTCTAACGGACAGACCGATGGATTGCCGTGAAAGGCAAATAAAAACAATTGTTGTTTTGCGTATGTTGCTTCGCCACTGTATAAGAAACAGATTTCAGTTGGAACTATATTGGCTACTGTCACTGTCCGACTGACACATCACTTACCCTGTGACGTAATAAATATTAATGCGCGCATTCCAGGAAAACTCGCAATGTTTCGGTAATGTTTGTGAGAGAGGGAAAGCGATTTTGAAGCACAGAATTAAAGAATGACATTATATGATAAAGAGGTTCTCACGCTTGTGTGCAAGGCTCGCTAAATACAATGTTTATTCCTAATGCAGGATATTTACCATCCCCAAACACATACCCCTATGTAACAAGCTCTGTAGCCAGTAAAAGTCGAGTGGCCCTTAACTTCTTCTGAGTAGTATAAGATCATGGCACGCCTAAGAAACCCTGGACTGCACATCGAATTGCTGCGCATTAGAAAAAGCGGCACTTGTGCACTATACACACACAAACCTACAAGTGGAAACATATACTTGGGTACATAAAATAATAAATTATAACCATCCCAAAGCACAATCGTAACAGCTGATGATTCACACAATGTTAATTTGATGGTTTGTTGTTTAACGCCATACTCTATATTCTAGCTATATGACGGCGGTCTGTAAATAATCGAGTCTGGACCAGACAATCCAGTGATTGATATCATGATCATCGATCCACGCAATTGGGATACAATGACATACGGCAAGCATGGGTTGCTGAAGACCTATTCTACCCCGGATCTTCACGGGTCTGCAATGTTAATACTGTACACGTAGCTTCAACTGTCAAAACTTACATCATCATGATTACTGCAAACTGATGCACTGAACATACTATAATATATTCACCAACAAAAGAAATGTGAATACCATGTATGTTAGTGAATATATGAAGAATGACTCATATTCAAGAGATATTAGATTGGTTTTATACACAAACGAACATACTGGCATACTTGTGTGAACCAATGCACATGAATGCATCACATGTGATGTCAGGGATCCATGACTCAAGATGCACCATTTGTTTCGTGCAGGATTAGCATGAAAAGTTTGGAAAGCATGTGCAGCATATTGTGATAAAAATACAAGACACTCTGTGGTAATTCTTGACTGATTGTTAGTTTTGTTATCAAGTGGTACACATTGGAAACCTCTCTTTTTAACGTACCTACTTCTCTATAGGTTTCTATGGTTTGCGTTTCTTTTGGTGGTGAGTATACAAAAGACTTTTAAAAAACAACAACAACAAAACCAATCAAGTTCTTGCATAATCAACACTGATCATGCTGATAATGTTGATGCCTCGATCAAAGCTGAGTATTTTCCATGACATGGAGTTCCTAAGATTTACCGCTGGGGAACAAGTATCCATATCAATGACAAGTTGCGATCAGTGTTCCCCTGGATTTTGAAACTACCAATTCTACTGGACTGGCAGCTCTTATAATTACCAGTTCCACACTAACTTCTGCAAGTCCAAACTTTTAACAAATAAAAAAATGTATGAAAATAAGCCTAGATGTAACTTAATTAGATCTATACATCATTCACACTAACTTCAGTCACAATTTTCTCCTTTTTTTAAATATTTTGAGACAAGGTCACTACAAATGGATATTTAACCTTGAAGCAAAGCAAAATGTTATTTCCTTGCAATATAAATAGACAAGGGAAACCCTGATGGTAACAGACAAGCTGACTTTGTTCGAAAAATGTACTTTTAAGAATATTGCCTATGTTTTGTTCAACAACAAAGATTTATAAGGTATTTTATTTGCTGGCAGTCGTCTGAATTACCTGTCCAAGCCTAATTTTACCTGTAAAAAACTGGTAATTACCGGTAAACGAGAATAATTTGTGATGTTCATGCAGTTTCAGCTTCAGAATAAGGGTCATTCCCCAAGACCCAAAGACATGGTGATGGGATACCGAGATTACCACAATGATAGCTGGGTGCTGACCCGTGAAGATCCAGGATAGAATAGGACTTCAGTAACCCATGCTTCTTGTAAAAGGCAACTAACGGGATCGGGTGGTCAGGTTCGCTGACTTGGTTGATGCATGTCATCATATACCAACTACATAGGTCAATGCTCACGATGTCAAACACTGGATTGTCTGGTCCAGGCTTGATTATTTACGGACCACCGTCATGTAGCGGGAATACTGCTAGGTGAGGCGTTAAACCTCAAACAAATGTAAGAGGTTATCTGGCCCTAAACAGGTATTATGCACATGTACTGTACAGCATGATACAGATATTGATTCTGATACATGTTCTGTCCTTGCACAAATTGCCTTGATCATTTTAAAAAATGTAGTCTTACTTAATCATGTTGATCAACACTTATCAAATGGTCCAATATGTCAATGTATGCTAGATAAATTCTGCTAGCACAAAAACAAAGAATTGTCTCCATTTTGACATCAAGGACAAATATTTTACGAGTCACAATTTAATAACCTTGGTCTGAAACCTCCCAGATCCATGACATAAATATTTGGAACATCACTGTACGATTAATTTAAAGTTAAATATTGCAGTAAATACTACTATAGGTCTAGTCTACATTTGACATGAATTAGTCATATTATTGGCATGATATTAGCCAAATTATCATTAAAAAAACAAAATAAAATAATCCATAAAGAAAATTAACATGTACAAGATGCAAAAAGTTCAGACATACATGATACCATCATTATAGGAACATTTACACCATGCGTGCATAAAATAATGACCCCAACATATTATTATTATGAATGACGAAACTAGGGCACGGATGTAAACATAAACAACCCATCCATCTCCACATCCCAGTCTCACCGCTTCAGAAACAAAACAACCTCACAACAAACATACCAAAACCATTCCATGGCCTCAAACGTGTGTCAAGGTACATTTTCCGTCAAATACTAAAAATATTTCGATCCAAATTCCGAGAACTCTTCGCGCCAAATATAGAAAAGAGGCATGGCCGTCTTTTCGACCGGGTAAGCGCGGTGACATTGACTACCCTACTCACATTTGTCCGAATAGGCGATCTGGACCACTGGGTGTGGCCCGTCGTCCTGGGGGACAGGCTGTATGTCTTTCCATTCCTGACGGTCCTTGTAGGGGACCCAGGTTTCGGTATAAACCCCTTCACAGTCGGAGCTACCGTCAGACATGTTGCTTGTTGCCAACCACAGCCGAAAGAGGGCGCTTGCGCACGCAAATGTTTATAATAATTTCCTACCGACATTTTCTATGGGGAGTATCGCTCTACTGAACATATTGTATGAATGACAGTTGTCATAACAGGTTACAACAAGATTCGTTGCGTGTGTGGCCAATTGTTGAGGTGCAATCACGTCAACACTCGAAGTTACTCTTATCTCTTACTCAATATGACGTTGAACCAGCATGGCCCACTTAAGACAACGACTGTTTATATTATTAGTATTGCAGACTTATACTAAGCAGCAGAGACCATATAATAGTCTATTATATGGTCTCTGTAAGCAGCCAGTAAAAGTATTCAGTGTTATGTACCAACACCGGTTAAGCAGGGAGTATATGTTTTATACCACCCGGCAAAGGCATTTATAAGCTCTTTATTATGCATAGGTTCTAAATAACAACACCAAATCCATTAAGAAGCACGCACGTGTGTAATAATGTTTTCAGGCGCTAGGTTGTAAGCATTGTTGGCGTTATGCACATACTATTGTTGACGTAATAAATGACGTCATTTGTAATGACGCCACAGTAGTAAGACCTTCATCATTTACGACTCTACCTATGTTCACTGTAGCTTCAAGAGCTTGCATCTTTGCCCCAAGAGCCCGGGTTCGATTCCCAATAATAACATAGCATGGCGTGACATGGAATGGCATGGCATGGCATGGCTGAAGAATGAACATGGTACAGAATATATATAGTTGGTGGATGATTAACAGTAACAACAATTGCATACATGAGGGAGAATAACATGAGCAGGTTAAGTACTGACAACAGGACCCGTGAAGATCCGGGGTAGAAAAGGTCTTCAGCAACCCATGCGTGCCGTAATAGGCGACGACTATGCTTGTCGTAAGAGGCGACTAACGGGATCGGGTGGTCAGGCTCGCTGACTTGGTTGATGCATCTCATCGTATCCCAATTGCGTGGATCGATGCTCATGATATCAATCACTGGTCCAGACTCGATTATTTACAGACCGCCGACATATTGCTGGAATATTGCTGAGTGTGGCGTTAAACAAACAAACATTGCGCGAATCATCAGCTGTCACAATTGTGCTTTGGGTTGGTTAGAATTTCTCACCCTCCCGGGCTGAAATATGTGTAATCCCAACGTGTCCCCCCAATCCCGAGCCCACTACACCCAATCCTCGCCCTACCACTCTCCATCCATTGGGTGGTCAGGCTCGCTGACTTGGTTGATGCATGTCATCGTATCTCAATTGCGTTGATCGATGCTCATGGTGTCAATCACTGGATTGTCTGACCCAGACTCGATAAATTACAGACCGCCGTCTTATAGTTGGAACATTGCTGAGTGCGACGTTAAACAACAAACACACAAACTGACAACACGATAGGCAAAGAACACAAAATGAGGACGTCACGCCGAAGACCCGGGTTCGATTTCCGACATGGGTACAATATGTGAAGCCCATTTCTGGTTTCCCCCGCCGTAATATTGCTGGAATACTGCTAAAAGCGGCGTAAAACCATACTCACTCACTCACTCACTTATGACGAGGAAGCCAATAAGACAGGAGTGAGTGAGTTGGGTTTAACGCCGCTTTTAACAGTATTCCAGTCATATCACGGCGCGTCAGCTTAATGTGGGAGGAAAGCCCGAAGTGATGCAGGTCTCAGACGTTTACCACTTCGGTGAAACCCACGAGCACGGGTATGGTGCTGACAAACCTAGAAACATAATCGTGGCGAACCGGGATTCGAACCCACAATCATAGGTTTCTGGCGTGCCCAAGGGATGCAACTCTGCACAGCGAATCGCGGCGCCCTTAGACGACTGGGCCACCCGTGCCCCCGCACACATAGAGAAGTGAGTGACTTAGTGTATCAGTGATTTGGGTTTATCCCAAGTTCAACAATATGTTAATAGGAGAAGCTTGAATACAGAAATCCCCCCCCCCCCCCCCCCAAATAAGACAGGAAGCCAATTAAACAGGATAAATCATACATAGGTGGGGTGATTATTGCTTTATGAGTTCATAGCAGGCGAATGGGATGAAATAGCCTTGAACTCTGTTGATTGATGGCTTGTGGCGACGAATGTGGACTGCTTCTGTTGGTTTTCTTTTAGTGAAGTCATGGAGGTCGTTGGGGAGGATCTGGACGTTTTCCCAGTTGATGTTGTGAATTGGGGCAGTTGCTTATATGGTCTGAGATGGCTGATTTACTGTCTGATTTGATTGTTGAAGTTTTGTGCTCTTTGATTCTGGTGTTGTTTGGGCGGGATGTTTCACCTACGTTGGATTGTTTACAGTTACAGTTATTTATCATCCAAAACTGGCCTCCACAGGAGATATCGCTTGGATTAGATCAAGCGATATCTACACTATAGATATTGCTGCAATGAAATTACATCACAATGCTTTGCAGACCATTGTCGTCACTGGTTACCATGACGTCACAATCAAATGACATCACTAATGGCTCTGCTACTGAAGCTGTTTTTACACTGAAGCGATGCTGTCTACAAATTGAAAAAGTTGGAAGAATGATGTTGGATGATAAATAAAATCTCACCCTTGTGTCTTTTGATATCAAATATATCCACAATCGTTGATAAAAGTGGCAAAAATCCTCGGCAAGCCTCGGAATTGTTCCACTTTTATCAACTCGTGTTGATATATTTGATATAAAAAGACACTCGGGTGAGATTCTCTATATAAACTACACCTTTAGGTTCATGGCGTTTGCTTGTGTTTCTGCCTTTGGCTCTTAATAGGGTATTGACAGAGATGGATCTGGCGAAGTGGCTTTCAATATTTCAGGAGACAGCTGATAATGTAGGAATTCTTTTCCTATCAATGGGAGGGCGATCCGGAAGTGCGACTTATACAACACGAAAAGCTATATGTTTGTGTAAGAACTGTTTGAATTCACGTTTCATAACGACATGCATTGAAAACAGTAGAGAGACAGTGTGTAATCAGATATATTTAGGTCCTACCATGTTATCGCTATCGAGCAAGCAGTCTTCATTTTTTATATTAAATTGCAAAAGAATGTCTCGCGTCATTCACCAACAATCGAACAAACAGTTTAACAAAAACACGTGAAACTAGATATTTCAAAGGTACGCTTCAAAATTAAAATGCAAATAATTCGTGGATAATGCGTTTGTCACCAAATAAAAAGCCAATCAAAACATTGTATGGTCAATAACATAACTATCATCATAAAGCCGTCTTTATATTACATTGTTTAAGGGATCACCTACCCAAAATTTCACATTTATTGATAAATTTAAAATGAACAAATAGCCGTATCTGACATATCTTAGAAATAACAATTATCGTCATGGGAAGGGAGGTAACTCTTCGACTTGTTCAGACAAAATATGGTCGCACGTTTCTTCCATATAACTCTTTTTATTTGATTTCTGACCGTATCATTTTAAAAGATCAAATGAACGATACATAGTTTACAGGAAAATCGACCAAATGGCGAAAAAACAGTTAAACAAACAATCAAACAACAGGCCTTATGTCAGAATGTAGTCAGACAGGTGGCTTATGCCAGCTGTTAAACCAGCATACATTTGTTAGGTCAGATGGATCTTTATATATATTCAAGGGTGTGTGTGTGTGTGTGTGTGTGTGTGTGTGTGTGTTAGGACTGAAGGTCACAAATGGATGATTTTATATTCAGCACTTTCAAATATTCAACCAAAGCAGTCAAATATGTTGTTTACACAGGACAAACTAATATAAGATAGTCTTTAAAAAGTAATCCTTTACTTTACATCAACTGGGATAACGTCAATCAAAGTAGGTAATAACATGTTGCATATATGTTAATTTTAGTCTTAAATTATTTGATATGATATTTAATAAATGGTATTTTGTGTCATTAAATGACTAAGGACAATTTTGTTAAAAGGTTTTCTTCGACGTTAAAATTTTCGGGGTGGGGTAACATTTGAATCCGTATCTCCGACGCTAGACTAACACTTAGTCAATGAAAACATTTCCTTAAAAAAATTAATTTTGTTCCTTCAAAAAGACCCTTTTCTCTTCTGCTGTTTCCTGTGGAATCAAGGAAACTAGACGTGGTTTAGTTTGATCTAGACTTGCCTAGGCTCTCAGTAAAAAAAACCCAAATATCTATGTATATATAAATTCCACAGATTACTTAGTCACTAGCCATCCTATTTTAATTGATTGAGCAATACTCCAGTTAAATTTTGATACATTGGGGGCTGGAGGTGGGGGTCTTCTTGTTTCATAAAAGTAAAAAATGATGGAAACACCCAGCTTCATATTCGAATTTTCACTGAATCACAAAGAAATGCAACAGAACAAAAGTTAAGCCATATCCAGATCGCCGAGCGTTTTGTTTTGTTTGTTTTGATATCAACAATGACTATCTTATAACCATTGTTTTATAATTATGTATTTGTCTCTTCATGTGTGCATTTCATACCCTCTGGAGAGTTACCACACTTTGCAACGTTACAACGTCGCTAGGGGCCATCAGTTGTGCCCAGCCGGACCGCTGCGTTACATTAGATAAGCTTGTGGGTAGGTGGAGTGGTAGGGGGTGCTGGCCACCTGACTACAACGATAAATGTGCATAACAGGTGCGTCGTGGGTCAGCATGTGTTTAGCTTGCTGCTCAGATCTATTACGTCACGTCGATAATCCGTGTTCGATTCCCCACATGGTGGATTCTGTTCTCGGCGATACCTGTCGCGATGTTTTGATTGTGGAATGTGGGTAAATCCATCATGAAATATGACCCCTCCCAACATCCTTACCCTTTACCACAAGCGTCTTATATAAACACGGGGCACATGCAATTACCTATGTTTAGTTGGTGGTAGTTGAAATCATGTGTTTCAAATCTAAATGATACTAGTAACATATTTGTCTATACTACACTCATTGGATGATTTTGGACTCTAATTTGTGCAGTTTATTGATGGTTTAACACCATCTAAATTTTTAATCATTAATAATATTC